GAAGTTCTCGTGCGCAGGGGGGTCGGCTGAGTCAGCAGGACCAACTGAAGGTGAGTCACTAAGTTTTTGTCATAGTAACACCCTCGTCACGCACCTACTTTACAATATTCGTGCGAGATTGACATCTCTGTGAATTTGGATGCAATGTCGCAATGAGACAGTATTGTTGCTTGTTCTGTAAAGTCCGATAAGAATATTTAAAAAGTTTCTCTTACCAGGACTGCTATTTTTTTTAATTGCCCGATCATAGTAATTTTACCTTAGAAGTAATTTTGTTTTCTTTTCTTTCTCTTATTAATATCAAATATTAATTGTGTTCTTGCATCGTACATTACAAATAAAGAATACATTTGCAATATGAAAAAAAACTTTTTTCACATAAAACGTAGATCATAACGCTACAAACCCGAATTTAGATCCGTTCAAAAGTTTTTAAGATGATATGAAAATACAGATACACGGATATTCAACAAGGCATTGTACTCGTAACTGCGAAAGAATTAAATTTTATATACACACGGAATAAACAGATTAGCAAATTTTTTACAACCCTCTTATGATCTACTATAAATGAATAACATCTAATATAAGAACTTTTAAACTTATGCGGCCTGTGCTGTGTATATAATATGTATAGATACACAAATGTAAATTACCGGGATACCTTGGGTATGTGTATAAATACATAACTTTGAAATAACTGTCGATTTGACGAGGTTACATTGGCAATGGTCAGGCTGATGAGTCAGCAATTTGTAATATATGTAAGTATTAATAATATTTGTATAAATTCGACGTTGAACATTTAAGGTTATAGTGAGTAAAGCGATGTATTTTGAAGTCTAAACTTGATTGGACTGTGAGATAATACTGATGAAGTTGGGTGAAGCCGGACACAGGCGTATTGATGTCCAAACTTTAAGGATACGGATTGAAACACTATCTATATTGAGATAGAAAGTTCTTATAATATATTATATTAATATATCTCACATATCTCACACACGGCCGTCTGGTCAAACTAGGCAGAGCCTGTACTATAGTAACAAAACTGCTGAAAACTGATACTTATACATTTTTAAATACATACTTATCATAGATAAATTACACCCAGACACAGAACTAAACAACTATTTGTCCTGGGCGGGAATCGAACCCACGACCTCCGACTTAGCAGTCAGAGTCACTAACCACTATACCAACAGGCCCCAAAAATCATGTATCTTAATTACTTTCAAATAGTCAGTAACTCTATGGTACATTCATACATATGTATGTATGTGTAAATTACAAAGCACTTTAAGATGGCTAAAAACAATGAGGGGAGGATGTATGTATAATTACTATTTAATATTTCTTGTAATGTAGTCGATATGAAGTCGAATGTCTAGCTCGCAGGTGCAAGTATTCTTCTGGCAAGTATCTCTTCTTCTTCAAATATTTAAGAAGTTTAGAATTTGGAATCGTGGGTAACATCGGTTTTAAATTAATTTAACAATTCCAGATCAATTAAATACAATTCAATACAAACAATATCAATTTTACTTTGCTAAATTTCTTAAAAAAAATATATAACACATACGACGAAGAGAAATAATTAAAAAAAAGAAAACGGAGTCTTAGAGTTGGAATCGCGTGTTATTGTGAAGGTACATTTTACCTACGATATTATGTGGATAGGCTAACAAACCCCCTATTTTCATAATATAAAGAGGGAGATAGGTAGTTTTAGCTAAGTTAGGGTTTAAAAGGACGCAAGCGCATATGACATTACCAGTATTTAAGAAAATAAAATATAATAAATTCAAAATATACCTTTAACTAATCTTAAAAAAACAATGATAACAGTTGACAGAGTAATAATAATTTATTGAAGTTTCAAAAAAATCACAGGTTATTGTACCATTAATAATTTTCACACCCATGAAAGCATAATTAACTAGCTATCGGGCACTTAGACGTCGCTTATTAAGTTTTAGTAATTGTACGCTTTGGTTGAGCGAAGGTTTGTAGGTGTGTACCCCGCCTTTATGACCGGCCGGGACGATCGCCATCAAGAATTCAGTAGCCAATGTAACCAAGGTGTTATTAAACGAATATAATTAAATTGAGGTGGTATTAGCTATTTGAATTATTTGTTAGCGTTTCAATGATTATTATTTCATTTAAAATTGAAATGGTTAAGTTTTACTATACTATTATACTGAAGTGAGTATGATAGGAATACGTTTTAAAATACGTGAATCAACTAACAATAACAATCGTTTTTACTTAAGAGGAAATTTTTGTCGATTAAAAAAAGTACATTTAATATTAGTTGTAATCGCGTGATCGTCACTGACAACGACATGTCGATACTGAATTAGCGATACACACATACTATATCCGCCTTTCCAATTGCAATCCTATCGCCCGATCGAAGTACCATCGTTTTTGTACATTTAACTTGTTAACTTCATATATATAAAAAAGATAATTCTTCTTTCTTTCTTTTTTCCTTCCTTAATTACACCTGTTTATAAAATAAATAGACAAAGCGACCCCACAAAGGTATCAACCGATTACCACAGAAGTCAGTATACATATATTTACTTGTCGGAATATCTTTTCGACTTTGCGACTTCGCAAAGATTACAATGGTTTTCGCTGTCGTTAAATAATCCTTGTTGAGTTGGCTCGGCTAGTTTCGCGTGGGGGTGTCACCTCGTTGCCTAATTACTCGGCAGCTCCCACGCTTGGGGGACAAACCCTCGGCTTTATCGGTTTTGTTTGGTTTACAATAAATGTCAGGAATTTGTTGTGGTAAACGGCACTGTTTATATTACCAATAAATTTTTAAATGGTTTAGACATAACATTTGTTGTATTTTATGACATCTTTACTACTACTATTCCAGGCTTTATTAAGTATAAAGATAGTAACGATCTCCTAAATACGGCTTAGGTTCAACTTTAATTAAAATATACTAGAGTACCTCAAGTAGTTCCCAACTACCTTACTGCTAACTCAACCAATTATTTTAGTAGTAAAAATAAGATTGTTCATTCCAGAACTTGTTGTTTTATAGAAACATAAGAAATACACAGAAGAAAATCGCTTTCAATTGCTAATGAATTAGAAAGGGTGAATTATGACAATTTGCAACGCTTGATGACAATTCTATGCATTAATACGTTTCATTCAAAAACAAAAAATAAATCGGTTGGATTTATATTGCCTTTCTAAGGCCTAGGTATGTTCAGCAGTGGACTATTAGAGGCTGTTGATGTAATGTGTGATGTGATGTGATCGGCCAGATGGTTTTATAAAGATATTTTATTAACCGATATTTTATTAAAGGAGGAGGTTATCAATTCGAATATCTATATTTTTTATGTATGTTCGGGCATAACTCCGTTATACATGGACGGATTTTCAAAATTCTTATTTTGTACGAAGAGGGTTTATGCCGAAATCATCCCATCTAAATTTTATATAGTTCTGTTGATGAGTATCGGAGTCAGACAACGGTAATATTAAAAAAATGACAGCAAATCAAACGTGATTGCTGCTAGGTTTTTAGTGCTTTTTGTTAGTATTGTTAGAATTCGGTTTAACTTTTTTCAAAAATGATTTATTCTTGTTCATTATATGGACAATTCATATTCTTCGCTTTATAAAAGTATTCACTCATCGTTAATTCGCTGGTGAAGGTGGCCTGCAATATTTGACTACGTTACTGTACTGTCACGACACTACTTATTATTTTATCTACCCCTAACTTCTTTGGTGTTTTTAGGGTCATATAAATATGTTTGGCACTAATGAGTACTATTTAATGTGCATATATACTATGTACTTAAATATATAAATACACGCACTCACAGGCAGTGGCATACTTGAATTTGTTGATATTGTTTTATCTTTATTCTAAGCCTTTTGGTAATTAGAATAACATGATTATCGATAATAATCTTTAAGTCACCAACTTCTTGTAAATTTGTAAAGTTCCTTATTTACTCCCAGACAGAATTATTTTCTTAGTTTATAAACGCGCCCCAAGAATAAATCCGCTATAACGAAATACCACGTGTTTAAAGAAAACACAAAAAATTGTTTCTAAATTTAACATTTAAATATTAAATCAACACCTGCATGAGACGGAACAGTAAAAATTATGGCAAATAAACATTCCAGTCTGCGTGTTAGAGGCTCACGGAACTTACATGTTGTTCCGTAATGTGCACTTGCAAATCCAGCTGGAAAAAGTTTAACTTCGCGTTTTAACTGTTAAAAAAAAAGAATGCAGCTTAGTAAAATTATTTATAGTATTCCATATTTATTTATTAATCTTTAAAATGTGGCATTAATAACCTCTTATTGGCGTTTTAAATTCAATCGCACAGAAAACTCGTTCGCCTTTGTACTGGGATGCGTATTCAAATTATAGTAAATTGTTTTATACAATAAAAAAAATTGTCTAGTTTCACGATCATGTAAAAACGTGACAAGCGGAACCTGGGGGTTTAGGACAGACCTTTCAAGCAACGACTTCCTCTCTTTGAATCTACTAAAACGTAATGTTTTTTCTACTTTCATAACTTTTGAGGAATAATAATTTACAATAAACACTATTATAAGGTTGAATTTTACTTTATTTAACCTTTCGTACATTTGTTTTTTAAGTTAATAGTTCACCATCCTTATAAACAGACGACGCCTTCAATATTTCTAACAGTAAAAATAAATGTCTACTTTGTTGAAAGTCTTTGTCGCTACATCGTCATTACAATCAACAAATGGACCACTCGAATGCAATCGAATCAACGCCTTATCTTCGTCTTTTTATATTGTAACTCCTGAACAATTCTATTCTGTACTTTATTTTATTAACGTTCATTTTATTTCAAAAGTATTTGCTTGTTATAGGTTTAACAAATATATGGACCATGGATGACGAAAAAAATGATTTTCAAGATAATTATCACAACCATTGAACAGGCGTTTATCTAAAATTAATTATGGAAGCAGCTCTGCCGCACTTTCATCGATTAACATCCTCAAGATTCTACCAACAATATGCTGCTCCACCGGTTCGGATTTCTACAAACTACCTTCACGACCTCCTTCCTCAACAGCATCCCACTCTCCTTCAGCAATATTTGGCCTACTATAATGAACCCCTGGTTCCTCTAGACCTCTCGCTTAAATCTACCACCCCGATAACCCCTCCATGTACTCCACCGCCTTCACAGAAACGAAAAATAATCGATGATTCCAAACCAGACAAATCACCAAAAATATTTCGACATTTCGAAGACAATGATACAAAAATAGTTGATGACAAAACGGCAAAAAGGAAACTAGACGATGAGAGTTCAAATGATAGTGATAGTCCAGAAGCGAAGAAACTAAAATTCACAAAACAATTTTTTGAAGAACTAAGAACATGTTTGCCTACACAAGGCGAAGAAACGCCGTCAAAAAGTGGTAGAAGTTCTCCCGAAATAGTGGAAATAAAAGATGTAGAGGAACGCCCGAAAAAATCTCCAAAACCTCCGACACAACCAAACAAAAAGAGTAAAGCTGTACGGAGATTAGTGTTCGATGAGGATAAAACATCGCCAGTTTCGGGAACAATTATCAGAGATCTAGCTGAAGATGAAACATTAGTTGTACGCAAGGTAATTAATTATAACTTCTTTATTACACTTATAAATACACTTGCAATAAAATGGTCACAATAAAATGCGCACAATGCTTAATTACATATACGTATCTAAAATAAAACACAAAGTTGCACAGGAACTATTAATTAGACGTTCTTACCATACCATTACAGTTGGTTGCACGACGACTTTCCTTATCGCTTTAGCAATTAAATAGGTACGAAATCAGCTTTTGTGTTGTGTTTTGCGCTAATAACAGTTCTAAGGGCGAGTCGCAACGCTCGCCGGGGGTGTGTCATACGAACATTAAATACGGAATAAATCGCCTATTCAATACCGTCTTAAAGTTTTTTGAATTAAGATAGCCACCTAAAACATTTCATTTAGAAGCAATAAAAATGTTAATGATATGGAATTATTTAATAAGCGTAATTGTTGGTATGATAAGGAATCGTTTTAGTAACTTGCATATACATAATTATGGTTTTTGTAGGGAGACATTGATCCGGCGTTCAACGTGGTTGAAGTGACCGAAGAGGCGAAGGCTTTGATTGCGGCGATAGAAAACAGGCTCGGCCGGTACATATGCAGGTTGTGCCGAAGGCTCTACAGTGATGCTTTTGCATTGGCACAACACCGGTGCTCGAGAATAGTTCACATTGAATACCGATGTCCTGAATGTGATAAGGTACTAATTTCAGTCAAGTAATTATTTTTTTAATTTATAATCTCTTATCCTCTGATTACAGGTTATAAACTTTTAATTTTGTTTTATGAGAACCAGACTGCTAATAAACATACTTGTATAGTCCTTAACGAATTGGCATTTCAGATAAATTACACCACTATACACGGAACCTAGAATGATAGTGCTCATCATACGATAATTATTTGTAATACACAAAAGACAAAAATAAGGTTATGAATAAAAATCATAAAAACAAATTGTAGTTATGCCATTTAAGAAATTTCTTCTCTTTATTGTTTATAAGCCTTAGTTACATATTCGCCAAACGAAGCTTAAGGCTTGCGTTAAAAGTGGGTTGTGTACCTACAACGCTGCTTAATAAAATAATAGAATTATTTAATGTAAAAAAACGACAACTTCCAATTCAGCCTTATCAGTTCCCACATAAAATGCTATTAAATGTTTGCTGATAACGAATTTACCCCTTACTTTTATGACATGCCAATACATTTGTCATCATTGGATTAATAATAAACTGTTAATTGTTACGTTTGAGATAGGTGCTTGGTCCATAACTCGTACATTTTCGTGCGTGGGAATTAAAGCGAGGGTGGTTAGAACACTTGGCTCTTTTCCATGGGAAGCCGTAATGGTTAGTACAGTGTTTGTACAAGGGTTTCCACTAATTGATACGTTTGATGGTGCGTGTCGGGAGAATATTAGCACTTATTATGTTTATGATGGGTATACTTCAGATAAGCAGAATTGATACTTGGTCACTTGTAATCTCTTTAATTCATATAGTTTCGTTACATAGTTAGGTCAATCATCATCACTTTACACGTATTGACAGATACCTAGACTTAGTATACTATCGTAAATATACTAAATCTATGAGCATAACGGTTCTGCTACGGAAGCCTACGTAAAACATATTTAATAGACTGATAGCATAATAAGATTCTACATTCTAAGAAAAATTACATTCATATTTACTATTTATTTATCAATTTTATTAACATTTTAGTTATAATTACTAATTGATTTCTCTTAAAAACCTTGAATTGAAAATTGACATTAAATCTTTTTAACGCGTTGAATAATTTTTGCCCGTCGTTTTTTTTTTGTGAAAAATTATCAAATTAGATATTCTTCGGGAGCATACATTTTCTTCATAAAAGGTATGGCCCTTTTATGCAGTGAAAAGTGTGAAAACATGTGTGCAAAATTTAATGATTTGTCATTGAGAAGCGAAACAAAGAACTGAAACAATCAAACTTACTATACTTTGCTCGAAACTGCGACGCAATAAACTAATATACCAGTGATAAATAATAAATAACACTGTCAGCTCTTCAACATAGAGTTCTCATGCATAGGTACTAATTTGGATAGCTTTCATTTTACCATTAAGTATTGGCATTATTCAGGGTAGAATAAAATTATATCAATTCTTCATTGTACCAGGTTTTCAACTGTCCTGCGAACTTAGCATCTCATCGGCGATGGCATAAGCCTCGTGTCCCCGGTACTGCCAAACGCCGTGAAGCCCCTGCAAATGAGTCCGGACGCTTTCCTTGTCAGCGGTGTGGAAAATTGTTCCGAAGGCAAGCGTACCTAAGGAAACATATGCTGGCTCACGAGCAGCCTGAAAATGAACCTGAGAAGGAACTGTCTGCGTTCCGTCAGGTACACGCGGACTACAATAGCTATCAACCAGTAAGTAAACATATGACAATATGCCCTGTTTTCTAGATTATTCTCATTCATAATTAGTACCGTCCCTCATTTTTCGTCCAGAATCTTGAGCCGTAAGTTTTTAGGCACTTCGATATCCACATTAATACGAACTGCATACGTGAAGTTAAACATTTTTATTAACTGTTCTTAGATTAACTTCTAGTACTGTCACTTTGCATGATTTTCAGAAATCGAATTTCTGTCATCGGAATTGACCTTCTCTTTATTTTTAATTGTGTGTAATAATTTAATAACAGTAAATGATAAATTATTTTCTTCAAAAAAAACTAGTTCTAAAAATAATATGATTGTTAAAAGAATAATTAATTCTATTATCTACTTGTTTAACAAAAATAAAGGTATTTTTAAAGAGTAAATTTGGAGTCAACTACTTTACGGATACTCAGTTATACGATATAGACATGGTTATTGATCTTCTTCATCGTATTTTATCGGATATTCTATTACGGTACTTCATTTATGCTCATAGAACCTTTTTTTATCAGGAAATAATGCGAGACAATAACTTCAATACGTTTTGGAATAAGATTCCACCTCCTCAACAAGAGCTGAACTGGGAAGGGGTCCGTCAGCGTTGCGGTTCATCGTGTTCTTCAGAAGACTCTCGGAGTCTTGACGTCACGGGCTCCGAGGACGAAGGAGGTGGATTGGGGGACGGGTGACGGCATGTTTTGCGGCCCGTGCCGCGACTTCCCCCGTATGCACCCGTCGCCACTACACTGTACCCTTACTCGTCAATGTACGGACCGGATTCACACATGTACTTTTCGTAAAATGTTACTTGCAGAGAACGTACGTTAACTTTTCTAAATATACAAACGTTTTTGCTATAGTATTGTACTAAATGAATTGAAAACACCCCTTTTTCATCGTTTTTATAGATGCCTTAAGCTCATACTTACCACAGATTTATATCTATAAAGTTTTAGATTCAAAATGTAGATTACTTTGCTTGTTAAAGCTATATACCTGGATACTTGTATACACAAAGAAGTAAGGAAGAAAATATTTTACTCATTAAATAAATTTACTACTAACATCAACATTAATACGAAACGATCCTGTTAGGTCTACGTTATAATGCTATTATAGCCAAGTAGTATTTATTAGAATCATAAATCGTAGTTGTAAAAATAAAACAGTCTTGTATATACAGAATAGATTGCAATTACAATTTTAGTTATATATTATAACGCATAGCTACATTATTTTAGTAAATTAATGTAAATATTTTGATCTCCTACAGCACATTCCAAAATATAAACACACGTAGGTGTCAAACATTTACGTGAGCTCGTAGTGTATATTAAAGCTATATTAAATAATATAATGTTTAACTCTCTTATTATAGTATCTGTAATTGATATACATGTCTTATGAGTTATAATTAGGTATAAGTCATTATTAGAAATAATATATTAACATTTCACATTAATTAACAAAACATAACTTAGGACGTTCTGGTTATTGAACTCCAATTCGAAAACTAAACGCTTTTGATATTTTAGATAATTATTTCAATTACCTTACTATACAAATTTATTTTCATTGATTTATAAATGTACAACTATTCCATAACTTACACTTGAAGAAGTCATTAATTGACGTTTTAATAAAATCCTTGTAATGTTAAATGCTAAAAGCTTATGATCTAATCAAAGGCAGTATTGACACACATTTCGATCGCCAAGTCAAAAGCGCGAAGGGTCACCGCAATCGATCGACTCACAGGCATATTTTTAGATGCACCAGTACCGGCAGACAAAGACACCTAGGCAGCCCGTTGTCTCATTACTATTTCAACACCCACCGTTAATAGAAATTGATCATTTTAACTAGGCCGCCTTTAAATATCGTTGCACTTTCCTTACGTAAACTAAAACGTACTAGGATTTTGATATTTTTGAAACAAACTTCATCTTTAATAAATAAAAAAATAAAACACTTAATAAATGAAAATAAGACAAAACCAAAATATTTTCTAGTCATTTTATTTTTTTAATATATCTAATTAGGCATTCTGATCTCAGTTTAATTTTATTAGTAACTACTATTAGTACTACTAGTCCCTATAATTCTAGTCTTTGAGTTGGTCTCATTTAAATCTAGTCACAGAATAAAATAATATTCTAGTCATTTATATTCTAGTTTAATTTCAACATATTGGTCTCACTTTATTCTAGTCTTATTAATATTTTTATTTTCTAGACAAATAGCAACAAATTTATTTATACCAAAAATATTTATAGATCTAGTCAAAACATTTATTTGAAAAAGTAAGAATTATTTATTTTAGTATTTTTTAAATCTAGTCACATTTTAAGAATAAAAAATCTAGTCGAATATATTATTCTAGTCAAGAAACTAGTCATAAAAATATATTTAATCGTAAAATTTATTTAATTAAACTTATAATAATGAAATATATAATATATTTTGTATTTTCCAATATATAATATATTTCATTATTATATTCTTTACACATTTAAGAAAAAAACTTTTTGTGCTTATGTAAGTCATAGAAAAATATTTATTTACAACTTTTTACTAGAAAAAAATACGTAATTACAACAGATCATCAAACATCGGGTATTGTTTTGTCGCGGTATTGATACAGATCCAATAAAATATATTTGCTTTATATTTACATTTATTTTAAAATGAAAGGTACTTATAACGTATAAAATGCGGTGACTTGAAAAGGCTTGAAGTTACCGACAACAAATAAACAAAATGTGTGTCATTACTTACCTTGGCGAATATTAGTTTGTTGTTGAACATATTTCTTTACGCAAAACTTAATAAATACTTCTATAACAGTCAAAACGTATTTTGAAAACTTTTTAATTTTTATAGACAACTATTTTTTTTGTATATAGACTTAATTTACGTTCATTTGATATAGCGTGTTGTTACTTACACTTTCATAAAATGGATTTGTAAAAGAAATGCTGCATTTATTTTAAGAGAATAGAATAAAATATATAATTATAAATAAAAAAATATAATTTAAAGATTATATCGAGTGGAAAACTAGTCAGTGTGTTCATCGAAACGCGTTCCAAAGATATGTAAATAATAAAACGCTGTATAAAGTTTAAGTACATAAGTTTAATAAAATGTAAGTTTTAATATTAGATAGATTATGTCTATAATTTCATTATTTATAGGATAATGTGAATCTTTTTAAGTGTGTGTTTTATTAAAATTAATAACTTATTTCGTTTAAAAATGTGTAAGATTTCATATTTTACTTTAATTTTTATTACCTACGCCAGAAAAAATCCATGTTTCTTTTGTATAGTGATCCAGTTGCATTAATTGTATTTGTTTCTGTACAAGTTAAAAATTGTTGTTAAAATTAGTTTAAACACATTTCTATTTATTTCTATCCTTGAAAGCGTTTTACTGCAACCTTCTAGAAAATTCACAATGCATGTTTCTATAAGGTTTAGTCTTTATAGAATCAATTTATATTAGAATTTCATAAACATTAAATTAATATAATCGTACTTTACTACCAACTAGTTAAAATCTCAATGTTTCAATAAAATACATTTAGGTTAAAGTTGTAAGTTTGTTCTTATAGCACGAATGTACCTTAAAGTAGATATAGCTTGCACCGATTGACGTAACTTACTTTTAGTTTGATTGTGACATATCGTATAAATAATGTAGGCGTTAATAAATTATTAAAATGAATACTACCTTTAATTTCATTCTGTTATAAATTCCCACGTACATAAAACGAATCTAAAAACATTATATAATCAAACCATATTTACCAGTTTTGTCTGGATTTAGACTTACATATACTATAAATGCAAAAGTGTGTCTGCCTGTCTCTTCACGCTTAAACCGCTGAACCGATTTAGATTAAATTTGGTATAGAAACAGGTTGACTGTCTCTATACCAATTTCGTCCCGGGAAAGGACATGAGATAGTTTTTATCCCAGAAACCATCCTTTAAGGGGGTGAAAAGGGGAAGAAAAGTCAAATTAGGCTTTATTCGTCAGCGTAACTTCACTCTTACAAACTAATCCAGCTGACACTCATTCTGTGAGTTGAAATTTTCCGGTAACATCTAAGGCTATGTAAAATACTCATAAAATATAAATATGTATAAAAATAATATGTTAATACATATACGAGTAGGAGAGTTGAATTGCTTATTACGTTTTAACCAGATTGTACTGGCTGGATGGTCACCGGCTGGATGATGGGTCTCAAACAAGTATATATTTAGTATTATTTATTTTATGGGTTTCCATTCCACAAAAAACTATTTTAATCACAGATAATATCACAGATATTAATGAAACCCCGTAATCCACTCCAAAAACACCCAACGTTTCTCATCTAAATTACATTTAATTTAGCTAAACGAGTAAACTGTCTCATGCTAGTCGTGCGTACACTTTCACTTCTCACTTTTCACGCACAAGGTCATGGTTAATAGCTAGTAGGTTATAAAAATAAATTAAATTCTGACATATAAGGAGAAAGAGTTTCGCAATTGAGTTTTTTGTGTGCATATCACCAATATACCTAAGCAATTATAAACGGAACGCAACAGTTTAAACATAAACTCGTGATGCCTGCTTGCCGGGAACGATCACTTTACTTTAACATCGTGTGAGCCTTGTTGAGGTTTCAACATCTAAGAAAAACTAAAAGAAGAATCTGGAAGAAAAGTTCGAAAGTTTTGTTAATAGTACAATAGTACAATAGTAGGTACAATGTTTCCTTTTTGTCTAATTACATCTGTACTGGAATTCTAGACGGCAATTTATACCTACGTATAATTTACGTAGGTATAAATTGCACTAACACTGGTAATACGAATCTTAACATCGAACAGAATCAACATTTAATTGTTCTATGTGAGTAATGAAGATGCAATAACAGTGAACGCTCTATACATTTTATTTTCACTTATTACCTTGAAGTTTGACAACCTAAACACATTGTGCACATGTGACTCGGTTCAATAACGACATCTATATTTCAAATGGGTGCATTGTTTGCAACCCTTGCCCATGTATTGCCACCCGTCATAGGAAAAATTGTGCTGATTTCAATGTAGGTGGCGTTGTATAATTCCAAAATCCTTTGAATAAACAATGAACAACGTGTTGTGAGTGCAACAATTACCTGCTTAGTTATTAAATTTTTTGAAGTACGTTTATCGGACTAGTACCTGCCACAACTTTCCACCATCGTTCCACACGGCAAAAGTTTAATCCATCACCTGAATAATTGGCGCTCAACCACCGTGAGCTTTTCAAGACACTTTTTGCCTCGCACTACTAATCTGTGGAACAAGTTTTCGTCTCCGCTATTTCAGGACCGATACCACCTTTAAGAAAAGAGCGTACTCCTGTTTTGCAGGCGTTCATGGGCGCGGTAGTCACTTGCCATCAGGTGACCCGACCATCTCGTAAATTTATTTATTTGAATCACTAACAGTTATACACAATAATTAATTACCAGAGACACACAAAATTTAGGCTTAAAACGAATTGTGTAACTAATAGCAGGTGAATACAACATGTACAACAATCTTAATCTCTAAAATTATATAAGATTAAGTAATTGAATAGTTCAGTTACAATGATAATAATGATTATATTCACTATTATGTAGTTTATTTATAAATTGAGAATATATTTTCAATTTTATAATTCATTAAATCGAATTAAAATAAAAAACAGTAATAAACAACATAATCAATGTCAATTCAATCTAAATTGAAAATTAAAAAATAAATAAAGAGTATAAGTAGGCATTAATTAGGTTAAGTGGCTGGCCATCAGAGTGATAAGAGGGTACAGTACTCCTTGCGCTACAGTATCGGTGGCGCAGGGCCACTCTGGATCGTGGTTAGCTGCCAGTGCCTCGAGAATTAGAGGCAGTGGTGGCGGAGTGGGAGCAATTTCTTGCGCGGCAAAGTGCAGCGGCGGTAAGACCAGTCCTAAGAGAGTGGAGAGTGGAGAAGAAACACGGAGCTCTTACCTTTTGGATGACGCAGGTCGGCCGTCGCCCGGATCGGCCGACCTTCATTTTGTTTATGATCCGAAGCCAGAGTGCATGGAGCGCCGTCGCTTCCTTCTGCGAGAAGGTGATGTCCTCAAAGGAAGCGGCGATACGGGAGATAGAACGCAGCACCGCTCTCTCTACCCGCAGAAGGCGCACCGAGCGCCGGTCGATCTCCGGCCACTTTAGGAAGTGGCCTGAGGGCGACGATTTTGGGGAATTCGTCGTCCGAATAGATACATGCCTGAAAAGCACGCACAGTGTTCTGTGTGCGCTTCTAGAGGACTGCAACCAAAGGGTGACGGTCGCACCGTGTGACGAGATCCGTCTTGGCTGAGACGGGTCAATGACAGTCGGGGGTGACGGAAGAATACAATTGCGATTCTCTCTCCCCCGGCCATTGGCAAGGAGAGGAACACTGGGGTGGTTTTTAGTCTCGGTGAGAGTCCGACAGACCCTTTCGCCCTCCCCCTTTGGATGAAGGACATCCTTGGGAATCTTCCAGCGCTAACAAAAAAAAGTTTAAGTCGTTAATTGGGTAAGTTTTTAAATAATAGTCTGCGAAATTTAATTAAGATATTTGAGCTCAAAAACGTTAACTAAGGTTTGGAATATTTATTCACAGCTCTGCTCAGTGTTTTACTATGATTAGTTTTAGAAAGGAACTTTTCTTTTATCGAACATAATATAATAGTTAATGAAAAGTCTAAAAAGAGTTTCTGTGCATTGACAAGGATATCAACTGCGACATGGGGTCTATCATTTAATAAATTAAAGACCATATACGGAGCTACTTATTTAGGTTCTATGTGCTACGGTGCACCTGTATGGGCCGATAAGGCGACCGTAGGCGCTGTTCGTCGCAAACTGTTACAAGGCCAACGACTTGCACTGATATTCTTGTGCAAGGCATATAGGACGGTTAGCATTGAGGCTTTGCCGGTGTTGGCGGGTGTGCCTCCGGTCGATCTCGAGGTGCAGAGAAGTGCAGCCATGTACTATTCAAGACACCTAAACATGGAATGCGATTTTTTGGGCGCGCGGGATCGCGGTAAAATTACAAGATTGCTACAACAGCAGTCCCATGTCTATAATGACGTCATAGACGAATGGCAACAACGCTGGGACAAATCATCCAGGGGGCGCCATCTTTCGGGCACGCCGTCATCGCGGCGGTAAGACCCGTTATGGAGGATTGGCTCGAGAGGTGTCACGGGACCCTTTCATACCGACTGACGCAGGTGATCACTGGGAAAGAATGTTTCGGGGATCACCTGTGTCTGATCCGCAAGGAGCCAACGCCTGAGTGCCACCACTGCGATGGCCAGACCGTGGACACGACTCTCCACACGCTGGCAGAGTGCCCGGCGTGGGTTGAGCAGAGGCGAGACCTCGTGGCGGCCATCGGAGTGGGAGTTCTCTCTCTCGATAGCCTGATTGCGGCTATCGTGCGGAGCGAGAGTGCGTGGAACTCTACCGTCGCCGTTTCCGTCTCTACCGTTTCCGTAAGGAGACGGCGGAGCGGGACCGGGAGAGGTTTAGAACTCTCCCGGCCCGCCAGGCCCGGGAACGGGCCAGGTACCGCAGGCGACTCTGGCGCCTTAGGTCGCAGAACGACCTCCGTCCTCCATAAGCGCAGGCCTGGGGGTGACAGGTGAGGCCATCTGTCACCCTAGCAGAAGCAGGCCGGGGTGGCGGCGAGCGCGTTGCGAAGCGCGCTCGCTTCCAGGGAGCACAGGGAACATGGGGTTCCCACACGGGGGGGGGGTCGTCTACTCGTCTGTAGATGACCCGAGGTATGTCGGGGTACCAGGGACTTCCTTTCTAGGGTATACCTGGTTCCCCGGCTATTGGTACCCGAGACGGCGTGCGGTTTTAGTCGGTTCGAGTCCGACATGCCACCGACGGGTGGTATCCGAGGGGATTTCCGTACGGAAAAAAAAAAAGAAAAAAAAAAAGGGGATTCTGCCATACATATTATAGAAATCAAATATAGCTCACATAGGACCCTTAATATTTTGTGGCCGTCGTGCTTCCCTGTTTAAAAGGGTGTATGCCTATTTTACTTCATTTTGTCTCCCGCTTTGCTAAGGAGGGAAATGGATTTACTGTATTTCCAACCCCTCCAATTTTCTTCTGATTAATTTCGTTGCGAGTTGAAAGACAGTTTAATTTCTTCCTGGGACTTCCCGAGTGTCATAACTTGGTGTGTTCGTGGGTCACTGCTGTGGATCCTGGTGTACAGGAGTTACAGTGTTGGGCGTGTGGGTGGAATTAGTCCAAAGCTTTGCTTATTCTGGGAACTGGTAAATTATATCCCAAAACTGTGCTTCTAAATGGCTGCCCCCCCCCCCATATCCCAATATACCATAAACAAAAATAGTTTCTCAAGTTTTGCGATGAGGCCTAGTTCGATGTTAACGACATAACCTTTAGCAAAGGCAGATGAATGAAAACTAAGAGGAAAGAGTATATTATCACAGTCTATACAAATAAATAAAATTGAAGAGTCTGTTTGTAATGACAAAATAATAGGTTCTTTTCATGCTTACACGGTTATTTGCACGATACCTGTGTCTTCATTTTCACGCTATTCAAAACATTACAGTATTGACGGCCTGGCTGAGTGGTTTGTGTAATGGACTACTACGCCAAAGGTCGCGAGAGGTTCGATTCCCGGATGGTGTGCAGGAACATTCAATGTTTGATTTCGTTTGGGTGTTCCTATGTATAATATGTACGTATTTACAAAAAAAAAAATATTTAGGTATTTATATCAGTTGCCTAGTACGAATAGTACAGCTCTGCTTAGTTTGGGACTAGATGGCGTTATATGAATGTGGTGGAACATCATTATTTATTATTACACAATCAATTCTGCCAATCGCTACTTATGAAGTCTTTATGCTTATTTACTTACCCTAGACCAGTGCACGCCATAATTACAATGGAAAATAATTACCAACAGACTCGACCATTGCCTGACATTAATTGCGCAAGATTATTGTTTTATAACTAAACTCCATCGCATATCTTTTTCAGTTAACATTAGCCAAGCGAACAATGAAGTTACTGTACGCGATTTGCTATGGCTTTATTGCCTTAAGTACAATTACTTGTCACGTAACCGATCGCCTGAAGCATTCCGACCTCAGTGAGACAACACAAATACCATTGGAAAATGATTCTCGAAATATATATTCAAAAGATTCCATTGACAAAAAATATGATAATTCCCAAAAAGTGCAAGAAGAACCGAGCAGTGTTTATCTCGATGACGTATTATTTACATTAAAACATCAAAATTGGAGTGACGAGGAAAAGCCCTGTTTGGATCACATATACCGTCTTCTTTACAGTTTGCAAAACTTTACACTTTGGGCGGTTTGGGGTTTGTACTATTTGATTTTTATTATGTTTGAGTGTAAGTTTCGGAGTATGAGGCTAACAGTTACACGCGGTAACATTAGAACCAAAATCCAGTCTGCATTCATCACTATATTTTTATCATCACTTTTATAGTACGTTTAATTGATGTAACTTTAATGTAATAAGAATAAGTTGAGTAACACTCATTAAATTATAAATGTTCTGTATCGTATACTTCTATATATTTACTAGCTCTGCATACAAGGATGTCTGTATGTAATTTAGTGGTATATTGTACGATTTACAAATTTCAATAATGTACGCTACACAATTCTAAGCAAAAGTTTCAAAATACAATTTTTATTAAGCACAACCTGGGTTTTGTACCCAATAATACTCTGTGAGCCTCTGAGAAACTATCTGAAAATATTCTCAATTGTTTTGAAGATGTCAGCTAACAATCAAACAGAAAAACTAAAAATTTCGAAAAGAATTCTAAAATTCGCCAATTCACAAGTGATTTATGTTCTATTACGTTTCTTTAGTCACTTCCTTCCATTTTTATTACTTTCTGTCAATGTGACACGCTGGGATCTATCGTCTCATTACATGTAGACACATTCAATTATTAGGTAGGTGCATAGATACGACCGGGTCCGTTCCAGCCTGCAGATATTAAAATTTCAAAATAATAAAAATCTAATTTTATAGATCTCAATTAGCCCTTTCGACCTACCTTAATTAATTTATAAGCCCGTTTTTCGTTTTCTCAGGAAAAATAGAAATATAATTTTCAATTTTCCTCTACTTAAAATAGCCATATCTCTTTGAAAAATGATTATTTTTTACTCTACCAAGCGTGAAAAAATTGCATTTGCGCTAATTTAATTTGCCCGCGTGCTAATTCTTAAAAATATTCAATAAATAATATTGTAAACAGTAAAAAACCGTCGTGGCATTTCCAAGCCAATTATTTGCGCATTGCGCATGCGCGACAGAATCAGACAGAAATCAGCTGATGCTACACGCACGGAAATTATATTTCTATTTTTCCTGGGAAAACGAAAAACGGGCTTATAAATTAATAAACGTAGGTCGAAAGGGCTAATTGAGATCTATAAAATGAGATTTTTATTATTTTGAAATTTTAATATCTGCAGGCTGGAACGGACCCGGTATAGATACGTTTCTACCTACATCATCAGCATCATCATCAACAACCTTTACTAGTCCACTGATGGACATAAGCCTCTCCTTAGAAAGGAGGTTTTGGTTTAAATGGTATAGGGTTTGTTTCAAAGACCAATGGGGAATTCGTAGTTTAGTATAATTTGAGCGTCTCAACATGTCTTTCATAGAAAACTAATTATATTAAATATCTACATTTTTGAAACTCTCGTCTAAGTCAGTTAAACGTATTTGATTATTTTAATTTTCTTTATCAGTTTCGTGTTACCATTTTACATAAAGTGTTACCATAAAGTGTCGTAATATGGTAATCACTTAATAGAAATATGGTAATCAGATAATAATTTTATGATTGTAAGAACTGAATCCATAAAGAAATGTGGTGCATTATTTAACGCATTTTTTACCTTTTTGAAAATCCTGTAGTGAATTATAAAGAAGTAAAAAAAGGGTCAACTGCAAGCTGAAAAAATTCAAAACTTTTTTGACATCTCTTGACAGACGTTTGCGCTCTGTTTTTTAATATAAAGACTAAACGTCTCATGTGACAGGCAGTGGATGGCCACCGCCCATCATATTAGTTTAGGTTTAGTATTTACAATTCATCACACGTTGAAATAGGTAATAATTTAAGGAGAAGGAATATACTTATTGGATATTATATATGCAGATGTACCTACATAAGTATAAGATGATTATTTCATGCATCAGACATATTAAAACATACATATAACCTACGAAAGTTCTACAGCTAGTGGACTATATTCTTTGTTTTTATTTAAATGGCGCACATACAGATATAATATAATTATCAAATAATTATGTAAAACAATACAAACATCAATTTGAAAAGTCGATAGCAATAGATAAATTAATAAAATAAAGGAAATATTATGCAGCTAAGTTGTAAAAGACTATTTTATGTGTGAAATCTTTTAAAAAGAGTTTACAGATTAAAAAATGCAGTGCGTAACTAAAAAAAACAAATGCAGATATCTTTTTTTCCTAGCCTTTCCCAAACAAAAATTGTTTAACATATACATAGATTCTAAAAAAAGAACAGATTTTTTTATATTTTTTTCATTACAAGACGATGCAATTTAATTCCAAATATTTTTTTGTATGGAGACCAGCCTTTGTTTTTTGCTATTCTATATTCTAAATCATCTTAAATGAAATGATATGTCTCTTTATTTCTTTTTAACACAGGAACTAGTATTATAGTCGAATGCTGTACCGTTACTCACAGATACATATAATGACTGTATATGCATAAATTGTTTATCATACAGATTGGGACTCATTATCATCAGAACCTCAAGGCCTTCTATTCGGTAACAGATACCAATTGGGTAATTTCGACCAATGTATAAAAGCACCCTGGTCTAAAACACATCCAAGTCTGAAGACCAAGTACTGCTTGGCCGAAGTTGTTCTAGAAAGAACCGACAACGCTGTGCGACGACGGATTGAAAAACGTTATTACCCGTACCAGTCTGCTCTGGATTTTCTGCAGGTAAAGTAGCCGTTTTGGAGAAACCAATTTATAAAATTCTTAGAGAAATAATTACTTGGTATTTGTAAAATATATTTATTTATAAGCACATATAAAGTTACTTGTCCTGACCGACTGGTTCATTACCGCAGAGCCTGAACCGCTGCAGCGCTGGGACTACAAGCTTGAAATTTTGGCAGCTGATGCTTTTTATGTTGTAATGTATGAAATTGTATAAAAGGTTTTTTGACAATTTCACCCCCAAGGGAGTAAAATAAGGGGAAGAACGGTTGCATGTTCGTCATTATCAAAGTTAGGTACACGTAATAAATATAAAATAACAGTATAATTCTATAAACAAATGTTAACATAAATTGAACCAGATGCAACTTGAACTCGTGTGAAAAGAAAATAGTTAAATAATAAAATAAGAACACTTAAAGTTTTAACTCTTTTTTATAGCATTTTCATACAGCAAATTCTTGTTTCTATTATTGTCGCCGAATTATATTTCCTAGCTCAATAGCCAGCAATTAACTGATGCAATCTCTTTCAATAGATGGCATGTGTAATACGTTAGGTATTACACACACAATATTTTTGTCGAATTATTTCCGTAGCAACTTGCTACGAAGATGCTACGAAATCTCTTAAAAAATATTAGCGAAATATATTAGTATTAAATACTAGAATATATATATATATATATATATATATATATATAGAATATAATATTAACAGATTTAAAAAAAAGCGATATGAGAGGACTGTTAACATCAATGTAGTATACTCGTACATTCATTAAATGGTGGTCAGTCATAGCTTTTCGCATCCCTATGCAATAGCGACGAACCCTAGATACCATCGTTATTGCATGAAGTTGCTAGAAGTACGGTAAATATTGCGATTGCTACTGCGATTTATAAATACGGTTTTACCAATGCGAAAGGTCCTCGATAAGGGTTTCCTTTCCTTGGTATTGTAAACTACACACTTGAGTAAGTCAGTCTATCCTTAATAAATATGAATACCATTTAAGAAAGATTTCATTTTAATACAAGATATTGTAAATTTAATATCACACATATTTTCCACAGTTCCATCCACCTCACACTCGTGCTCTGAACGAATTGACCTGGGGCGCATGCGTGCCGTCTGCGTGCTCGCCTCGCACTGTGGAAAGGCTCCTCGGCGTGGTGCTCGCGCGCAGCCATCTTGGTGCTGCTCGCATAAAGAATAATATCGCCATCAAAGAGGAATGTCAAAGCGGTGAAGATCACAGGGATTATGATGCGCTGTTTTATGCTTTCTTGTTAGTATATATATTTGTTACAATCTATCTATATATATATAAGAAGAAACTGACAGACTGATTCACATTGCCTACAAACTGTTAGAACAGTTTGGCGAATCGAGAACTTGTAAACAAATGTAAATCAAGTGTGATTAAAGTTTATAATAAAAAAAAAATACGCATCTATATTCATATACGCTAAAATACTAAAACACAGGATAAAAAACATTAAATTATAGAAATGGTAGTGGAAATATGTAGATAAGAAAAACAACCAACTTAGAAGAGATTTTACTCCACCAGGACAGGTACAGACACCACATTAAATTTTATAATATTTAGGTAGTATGAAAATATATCACGACGTCTACCAATTCCTATTTTATGTAAATTTTCTTTGCAGCATAGTTATGGGATCAATAACTTCAATTTGTCTCATCTGCACGTACTTGAACAATCGACGAAAGGAATTAGACCCTGAAAGAAGAAGTAAGTACTCTTTAAAATTACATCACTAGTAACTATATATTTATTTAGGTTCGGTAGGTTTGAATCTCTACCCATGCTTCGGCACGAATGGGCCGGCTCGACCGGAGTGATACCACGGCCTCACAGAAAGCCGGTGTTAAGCAATTCTTTCGTTGCCTTTCTTTGGCTTGACTCCTAGGGCGGCAACGCACTTGTGACTTTTGAGTTGCAGGTGTCCATGGGCGGCGGTAGTTGCTTACCATCAGATGACCCTTCTGCTCGTTTGCCCTTTTTTCCATAAAAGAAAAACCCTAAGGTGGCAAAGATTTAAGTTAAAAATAGTGATTTGGTTTTATGATAACTTCGACTGTGATTATATTCATTTGTTATGGATAAAGTTTAATTGTAACGTCTAATTTTTCAGGTAACCGCATCATTGAAGCATTTGATCTTAAAGAAAATGCTTCACAGCTACTTGACATGAAGAAAGAAGGTTTGGAAGTGTTCTATGGCATACGGTACTTGACGATATGCCTTATTGTATTGGATCACCAGATAGGAATATATAACGCTGGACCAATTAGTGACGGACTTACGACTGATCAGGTACCATCTGTCTTCCATACAGAGAATATAAGATGTTCACACCGAACTGGTGATTTGAACACTTTTCACTTTATGTATCCAAACCATTTTCTTTATATGTGGGATAGTTTTAAGTTTTATCTTAGCCTTTCAAAGAAAAAAAGAGAACAGGAGAATCTGCAGTAAATCGAACAATGCCGTTGTTAAAGGCTAATACTACTCACAAGTGCCATCAGAAAATCTTTATTTAAAACTAATAGTTCACTTTTGATGGAAACATTTGCACATAAAATACAAACAGTGATATTCAATGTTTTAAACATTTACAGGAGTTTCAATCAACAGTTGGTATGCTGCTTATACATAACGATCTCTTCGTGGACACCTTTTTCCTGCTTTCTGGATTTCTTACTATGACAAATTTGGCTAAAATAAAGAAAGTCAAATATATTATCATCTTGAAGCGATATGTGAGGTATGTCTACAAATCCCAATGACACATTATCCACATGAAATACAGTCTTTTAGGGTACTAATTGTTTTTAAAGCTAAAACTATATACATGTAGTGTTCTCAGAGCGAGTGCAATTTGAGCGCGCTGTTGCAGTTCAGTTCGAGTTCTGTATGCCTTAACTATGGACATCAAAGCAGAAAATTAAATAGACTTAATAGAATTTATCCGTCTGTTCGGGTATAGTTCTCGTGTTTTTAACTTATACAAAAAACTCCCTAAAATATATGAAGGAAAAGTCACCGAATCATGAAATATGAAAAATTATATTAATAAATATGTTGATTAATATTATTTTAGTAAAGGAATCTTTTTATTAAAGTTATGTGCATACATATTATCAGTACAGTGGGTTACAGAAAATTAAATAGAATTACCTGAATACAAAACACAATTAACTTTAAAAAAATAAAGTAATTACAGTAAGAACCTCTTGCGCAAAGACTCGACGAATTCCAACCACCGGAGCAAGCTGGGTTTCGGACCGGATATGGCACCATAGACCACATCCACACAGTGCGGCAGATTATACAGAAGACCGAAGAATATAATCAGCCCCTGTGTCTAGCATTCGTGGACTATGAGAAAGCCTTTGACTCGATCGAGATCTGGTCTGTTCTGGAGTCCCTGCAGCGTTGCCAAGTAGATTGGCGATACATCCAAGTGATGAGATGTCTCTACGAAGCCGCCACCATGTCCGTCCAAGTACAGAATCAGCAAACAAGGCCCGTACCATTGCATCGAGGAGTGAGACAAGGGGACGTTATTTCCCCGAAATTGTTCACAAATGCAATGGAGGATATGTTCAAGACGCTGCACTGGAAAGGCTGTGGCATCAATATCAATGGCGAATACATCTCTCACTTGCGATTTGCAGATGACATCGTCATCATGGCAGAGACGTTGCAGGACCTACAGCAAATGCTGAATGACTTAGCTGACACTTCTGTACGCATCGGCCTACGGATGAACTTGGATAAAACCAAGGTCATGTTCAACGAACATGTACTACCGGAACCGATTGCGGTACACGGTGCCGTTCTCGAAGTTGTTCAAAATTATGTGTACCTCGGGCAGACATTGCAGTTAGGTAGAAACAACTTCGAGGACGAGGTGAACAGAAGAATTCGGTTGGGTTGGGCAGTGTTTGGGAAGCTACGTCGAGTCTTCTCATCGTCGATCCCACAGTGCCTTAAGACGAAAGTCTTTAATGAGTGACAACCCTACCCGTCATGACATACGGAGCTGAAACGTGGACACTGACGGTACGGCTGGTCCACAAGTTGAAAGTCGCTCAACGTGCTATGGAAAGGGCTATGCTCGGCGTTTCTCTAAGGGATCGCATCAGAAATGAGGTGATCCGGCAGAGAACCAAGGTCACCGACATAGCGTACCGGATCAGCAAGCTGAAGTGGCAGTGGGCTGGCCATAACCGAGTACCGGTACTGCAAAATAAATAAGCTTGACCTAAACTTGGCTAAATGTTGCTATATGTCCTTTACACGCCGGAAATCTACAATTGGGTCTGGGTACCAATTAAACAATGAATTTATTAAGAAGGTAGATCGCATTAGGGACCTTGGTGTGGTGATGGATTCAAAACTTATATTCGATATGCACGTCGATCATATTACAAAACAAGCGTTGAAAGCACTGGGTTTTGTAGTGAGAATGTCTACATGTTTCCGATCTCTAAAAACTGTAAAAAATGTATACTGCGCCTATGTACGTAGTCTTCTAGAATACGCGTCACAGGTATGGAACCCACAATATCAAGTTTATAAATCGCGCATAGAGGGTATTCAGCGAAAGTTTTTCCGTTACTTAGATATTAAAGCCCAACAATACTCTGCCGATTACAATGAACGTTGCAAGCGTTATCATTTCTTGCCTTTGGAACAGAGACGAACTGTTAGTGACATATGTTTCCTGATAAACATCGCCAATGGTATCATTGATTGTCCAGAATTGCTGAGCAATATCACACTTGGAACGAATCAATTAGTTTTTAGACATCGTCCCCTATTACACGTTCCCTTTGCTGTAGCTAACTATAGGCGGAACTCGTATCTTTTGCGTGCGGCTGAGAGCTATACTGATGTGGCATCAAAGTTGGACTTAGATCTGTTTTGTACAAATTCTACTACAGTCAAAAGACTTTTCAGTAAATAGTTCTTTGGCAGCGACCGGTAGATATGCCTACTGAATTACCTTGTTTATCTGTTTTAATTATTATTTTATATGTTTTTTTTGTGTTGCCTATAATTTAGTTTTCGTTTTATTTTTTGCTGACACTTGCTGTTCAGATCAACTGGGAATATTATGTATAACTGTGGTTTATTATTAGGTTATTTATATGTGGAAGCTTTTATTAGCAAATTAAGCGTTACTCAGCAGTGTATGTTAATATTAGTCGGTAAGCTTTCCTAAGATAAATAAATAAATAAATAATCATGTAAAAATATACAGCCGAACTGAGAACATCATCCCTTTTTTGTAAACAAAAATGTAATGTCTTTTTCTTCAGGTTGATAGTTGCTTATGCTGTAGTAATCTTCTACATAAGCGCTGTATTCCCTTACACGGGAAGTGGTCCGCTATGGAACAGGGCAATATCACAAGACACTGAACAGTGCCGAAAGAACTGGTGGCTAAATTTGCTCATGGTCAGCAACTACGTTGACACAGAAAATATTGTGAGTAACATAACAATTTAAAATAATAACAGTGAGACAGTCCTAGATAAGCTAGTTTCTACATTTGTTCCTTACGGTCTTACATCCTCAACCGTTCATCATTATACTTTGTTCACGTATTGTCAGAAACACAGAAAAAAACAGGAGGAATAGAGAAATAGTTTAAGTAGTTTTTGAATGGTCATTGTGAATTCATTGAGTAAAAGCTAATATTTATATAAAAAAATACTAGCAGTCCCGGCAAACGTTGTTTGGCCATATACATTACTTCAAAAGAAATTGACAAAAAAAAAAGAATAGGGGTATGAAAAATAGATATTGGCTGATTCTCAGACCTCCCCTATATGCACGCAAAATTTCACGTAAATCGGTCGAGCCGTTTCGGAGGAGTTCAACCTCTAACACCGTGACCCCGTGAGAATTTTATATATTAGATATAGGTATAAAATACGTGTTATTAAAAAAAGGCGAAAAAAATAAACAAGCGCATTATTTGGACTGAGATTGGGCAGTATGTTTTAGTTTCACTTCCTGTGGAAGTCTCGACAACAAATGCATTCATACTTATTAGGGTATTAAGACCCCTCTAAGGGAGCAATCTACGTAGGACAATAGCACTGCAAAGAAAAGGAAAACTTGATACAAATCCTGCACCAGTCACACTGTCTGGCCAGCGTGGTATAGTAGGCCAAAACCTTCTTTCGAAGAAGAGGCCTATATCCAGTGGACTAAAAGACTGTTAATGATGATGCAGGTCTAAATAGGTAGGAGTTCCATGTGTTCTTGCTCCAGATCATGGTCGGAATCCAGAGACTACCTATAGAACCGACATCACAATGCTGGCTAATCCAGTCTGAGCGTTCTTCACTAGAACATTTGTACATAATGATAGACCAGATCTGTATATTGTCTCCAACCATTACTAGCAACATTATCTTCACCTGTTTCTTTTGTTTAATAGATTTTATATACATATATGACTGTGTAAACATTGGACGGTTTACAGTGTATGGTGACATCCTGGTACATACCGTGTGACTTCCACTTTTTCGTAGTGACGGTTCTTGCGTACGGGTTATATAAGCAGTGGCCTAAACTTGGATTATCGGTAGTAGCAATTCTTACAACTGGAGCTTTCATAGTACCCGCAGTCATCACCTATATATATCAGCTCGCTGCAGTACAACTATTTACTATTGAGTAAGTATCTAAACAAAATACATTTTAAGATCCTAATTCATGAATCTCCAAATTGTTTACGAATATCTTTGTGCCTCAAGTCCTAATTGCAGCACTCCAAATCAGTTGATGGTCTTCAACTTACGCTTGTCCATCCAATTTGTACACCCATTATAAGGGTTTCTCTTCAAAGGTGATAACTTTAATATAGAGCGTTATTAAATATATATAATGCAGTCTTCAAATATCAACAGTGATAACTGGTTTAATTTCCATACAGCCGTCTTCAACCAAACTTGATGACCTTTTCATTTTTTCTTTTTGAAAAGAGAACTCCCGCAGTAGGAATATATCCTGTGTAGCGGGGACTTTACAAACATTCATGGAACTCACACGAACACCCAGACTCTGAAAAACAATTTGTGGATCACACAAAGTGTTGTTCCATATGGGGATCGAACCCACAACACTCAACAAAGAGGTGAAGCTATAATTATGCATGGAAGACCATTCATTTCTCAAGTTAAGAGTAAAAAAACCGCAGCACCAGCTTTGGTGAATAAATGTTAAAATTTTGAAAATAGATCACATCGTGGAGACTTGAGAGAACCAAGTGAAATCTAGTTAAGAGAATTTGGTCTAACACAATTAAGTTTAGTCTCAGCTGTACCCATAAATAGGTTTCATATATCTATTGAGTTAATTACTATTTTATAACAGATTTCCGCTATGTAATGCCTATTTTATTTGTTATCTTTATCAGTTTTTTGAGGGACCCTCGTGCCAAGGAAGACTACCACATCGCCTACATCAAGAGCCACACACGGTACTCTGCCTACCTGGTGGGATTCTACAGTGGCTGGCTATTCGTGAAATACAGCACTAACACGGGTCTAAATAAATTGAAACAGGTAGTTTTAAGATTCTGTTTTGTTTTACTTTGTTAGTAGATTATTTAAGTTTAAGCCGTGTAGTATTAATATTTATTAAGAATGCCTAAGGATACCAAGTGTTTCGCTTATTTTTAAGAAGAACTGAAATCTTATTTACCACAGAGATGTGAAGTATTATTTAAACCCATTATTTAAACCTAATTCGTTCAAAGTGTTCAAACTTTATATTGTAAGTCTGCTGAGTAATGCTTATTTTTCAGCAATAATTTTTGGGTGACACATACAGAGAGAGAGAGAGTACTAGGAAAGTATTTAATTATCAGAATTGGCTTCAAATTTCTTCTTTTAGTGTTTACATTAATTGGGAGAGCCCGAAACTGTTATCCCTTGATTTGTGTTCTTTTTTATATTTGGACCCAAAAAAATAACATTTGTTGCCCACAGAAATGGGCGAGTCTAGGCACATTATCTGCCTTAGGTCTGATGCTGGTCATAATGCTTTACGGCAGTACATTCCTTTGGAGGAACTACAGTCCGCTAGAGGGAGCTCTGTACGCTACACTTAACAGGCCCATTTGGGCCTGCGGTGTGGTGCTATTGGTCTTTTGCTGTTCTTTCGGACATGTCCGTGAGTATACCTAATCTTTACATAGTATAAAATGAAGTTGCTTTTTTGTGTTGTACATCATCAACAGCCTATAATAGTCCACTGCTGGACATAGATAGACCTCTCCTTAGAACGGAAGTTTATGTTTATGTGGTTTTTGTTTTGTGTTGTACGCTTAGATCTAGAAACTAAGCAACGGACTTGAATGCAGTTTCTACCAATAGAGAGAGTGATTCAAGAGGAAGGTTTATATGTATAATTTCAATGATTTGTCGTAAAAAAACATGTTTTTGTGCGCTTACATTCCAAACGCTGGCTAACCCTTACAAAATAGACCAAAATCACGCACCACGGAATGGTATATCTTAAAAATATCTACAAAGAGGTCCGTCATGGTATGAGGAATCCACCCTTAACCCACAGTAACCATTTTTATCTTTTAAAAATTACAAAAAAAAATGGGTTATTTAAAACAATACATTATTGTTCCTTATACGTTAGATACGTTACGTATTTAATGAAGGTTAAAATTGTTCTATGAAGCATATCATTAAACTAAATATTTTAGAAGTTATTAGAAGTTTAAAATGCAAGAGCCCAACGACCGTCGAGCCGTACGTCCGTCCCGGGTGGCAGCGCGCGGCAGGATCGGAGCGGGCCTATTAATATTGCATTTAAAGATGTCCTGTAATATAGTCCTATCATAGTAATAGTATAATTAATTACTCCACAGTGACACCACATTAGTAGAATCTAAATTGAACCCGTGCGAAGCCGGGGCGGATCGCTAGTTCCTACATAAACCTGTAAATCAGAGTGTCATTAATGTTTCGAATGTATTTGTAGGTACTGCGATATTGGTTTACTTAAACAATTAATCTTTTTATCCATATAAAATATTGCCTACATCTTCATTTCAATGCGAAAAACAAAAATTTATTGGATCGATATTTGGCATACAGATGGTTTATAATAATAATAATTAATAATTAATTAATAATAATTTATTCAAGTAAGTAATTTGTACATGGCATACAGTGTTGTCTTATAATACTTAAATTTACAAGAAAAAAAAAAAAAAAACCAGTACAACATATATACAATAGTCATAGGACTCTCTTTCCTAAACTAGGCAGGGAACCTGTCTGTATCTTAGGTAAGAGTATCCATTTATAATGTCTTATATCGGTTACAAAAATAAAATTTTGGTACATGCAGTGGGTGAACAAAGTACTTATGTTATTAAAGAATTAAAATAAAACAAAACAAGAAGTGTCTATCTGTGTGTGGTATGTGTGTGTGTGTGTGTGTGTGAGTGTGCGTGTGTGTGCGTGTGTGTGTGAGTGTGTGTGTGTGTGTGTAAAAATCTCATTCTACTGTAAAGTGGTTAGAAGCTCCTCGGTATCACTATATGTTAACGTCTGTAGCCAGGAAATGAGTTTTCTTTTTACCTCACTCTTAGTCAATGCGTAAATATTTAATTGTTTGTGGGCTTTGTTGTAGAGTCTAGCACTTAGGCCATTAAACTGTCGTCTTGCAAAAGCAGTCCTGTAGGGGACAGTTGGACATAAAGGAAAGCCACGACGCCGCTGACTAACAAGCTGCTTTTTGAACGAAATCGTAGAATGCTTGCGGTGGATGGATCTTAAGATATATAATTGTCTAACAGATAGGACATTACATTCTGAGTATAACATATACGTCGGGTAGTCACGTGGTTTAAAATAAATTATTTTTAACAATTCCCTTTGAGCCCTTTCTAACTTAAGTAACTCAGTTTTATGAGTCCCCCCCCACACAGGTATACAGTACGTCAGGATGGATTGACACAGAGCCAGGTAAACCATTCGGAGAGTATTGTTATCCGCTGAGAACCTTAGGTTTTTAAATATATATATAAGTCTTCTGATACGAGAAGTTAATGACTCCAATTGAGTGGTCCAGTCTAGTTTGTGATCGACGAACACTCCGAGATATTTTATGGATTCAACCCTAGTCAACGACAGACAGGTACAGGCTTCACTGTTATGCGGACAGTTATGAGCTATTAGATTGCCGGTTCCTTCAACGGGTTTTGGTGTGTGTGGTAGAATAAAACGTAAAAATTTGGTCTTTGAAACATTTAACGTTAGTAGGTTACTTGCTAACCAATGCATTACTCTCCGTAAGGCGTTTTCAGTGTGTAATTTAGCGTCATCCCAACTCTTACCATATGTCACTAGGGCAGTGTCATCTGCGTAAGTGAAAATATCACAATTGACGACAGACAGATTACAAAGGTCGTTGACATAAATTTGGAAGAGAGTTGGGCCCAAAACACTTCCCTGGGGAACTCCAAATGTTATTTCTTCCTCTGCACTAACTATACCATCTATCTTGATAGATTGTCTACGGTCAGAAAGATAGTCTTTAAAGATGTCAAGCGCTAGACCTCGTATACCCAGATTTTCCATTTTCTCAATGAGTTTGGGAATACAGACAGTGTCGAATGCTTTACTGAGATCTAAGAAGATGCCATAGCATTTCAATTTTCTGTCTAGTTTATGCACTCGGATGATAAGTTCATGGGATCCTACTTTTTACCGAGGCCTCGAGGCAAGCATCACATGGAACCCTTCGTCCATGTGGTCAAACTGGATAGTCAAATTAATTTGTCCAACGGGAAGAGTAATGCAGTAAGAGTAATAAAAACTTGTAATGTAAACATACCAGTCTCCTATCAACATAATAAAAATTTAGAAATTGTGACCTAAAAATGTTTGTACATAAATGAACTTAGGTACTTTATTCTATATTTATTAGGTACTTAATTTATTTGTTTCAGCAATTGTGAAATCATTTCTGAGCTGGTACCCGTGGGTACCTTTAAGCCGGCTTGCTTACGGACTGTACCTGACACACGCTATAATCATCACACGCAATGTCTTCACCACCAGAAACCCACAACATAATGACTATTTTGACATCGTAAGTTTAAAAAAAACACTAGACCACCACACCACCTGTAACTACGACACAAAGAAAATCCGTTACAGGGAAAATATACCGAATGTGAAAGTAGCTAAGCCCTTCTACTACTGAACACCAAACAACATTCAAACAATCGTATTCAGAGCTGCTACCCTTAGACCCAGTGATACCATGTTTTTTTTCAACTTGGAAACATTAAATTTACTTGGAACACTAATAACATTAAGACAAAGCAAAAACGGTGTAGTGCTATTGCTTGGTAAATTTATTAGAAGATTTCTCTGTTCGGAAAGTCAATATCACATCACACATCAACAGCCTATGATAGTCCACTGCTGGACATAGGCCTCTCCTCTGAAAGGAGGTTTTGGTCAAAATTTTAATTTATGCATTTTTAAAAGAAAAGAGGATGTTATGCTTAAATGTATCTTATAGTGTTTCAAATACGTAGGTATGTCTCAGTAGGTATATTAATTCTAGAGATGGACGCAAGTATTTCGAGGTTACGCACAACCTTGGTTGTATATTAGTAATTTTATCAATGTTATATAATCGTAATCCTTTAATATTTTTTTAGTTGAATTCAGCTGCTGGCGTCATATTTTGGGGTTCCGTAGCTGCCGTGTTACTGTTTCTGTTCGTGGAGGCACCCGCTAACAACTTGTTTAGCTTATGTTTACATTCTAAGTAAGTTTTTTACTCTATTTTATATATTTAGGTGCAAAGCTACGTGCAGAAAATCATGAAGAGAACGTTTATTTAAATGTTTTTTTTTTTTAACTTCTGATACCTACACGTAATATAGGTCGTTTGTATTAAAGTTATTCATATGTATAATTTTTTCAAAAATAATCCATGATGTCATACACCAACCCTGAAAAAGGAGATTCAAATTTCAAGTGTTCGCCTATTTCAGCAAACTCGTAAATTTAAATGCGCATTACTGAACAAAACCTCTTAATGAAATAAATCAAACTTAATTGTGGACATGAATGAAGGAAATTTCCATTACTTATGATGTTTTAAATCCCAGAGTATCATCAGAGATCACTTTAGGACATAAGTATTGTAGTCGGGTCAAGAACAAATACCCAATTCGACGGACTCATCCCGGGCACATGTATTGGTTTATACTTAATCAACTTTTAAAACATATCATCGATTTCAATGAACCTCCTGTTTTTAAGACCATTCAAAAGTACGTACCGCGTAGCAAATCTAAATATATCATCATGCATCTAAATATATGTACATATAAGGTAAAGAACTTCACTTTGTCTTTTCATATTCCATATTTGCTTCTCATTGTTGCAGAGTGGCAGACAGAACAACATCAAATGAGGAATTGAACCCTGACAATTTGAATGCTTCTACAAGTACTAACTCGATACCAACAAGCAGCACTGGTCACTTACAAAAAAATTTACCTTCAAATATACGGTATTCATCTAAAATATAAGTACATATAATTACGTTTACATAGAAATATACAAGTGTCTCTTACGTTACATTAGAAATACCAAATAACAGAGTAACTTAATAATTAAGTTGATATTCTCAATTATTATAAAATGTAAATATAGTATTAAAATAATATTATTAAAAAAATCCTGAATTACTTTATCATTAATATACTATAGTGCTAAATTAAACACAATTGGAAAATAAAATAGGTACATTATAATACTATGTAGTTCGAAACTTTACTTTTTTCTAAATCTGGGTAAAAGCGACATCTATGATTTTTTTCTCTTACTAAGAAAAACTTCTTCTTCATTAATCAAAATTGGTTTCTAGTAGTTTGGTTATTTCCACATAGGTGGCGCTACTAGCTAAAATTGCCTACTTCAAAATATTAAAAAACATTATTAGAGACAGAAACCATATATCAACAGATCTTTCATTACATTACACTTTTTTTTTTTTTCCGTTCGGAAATCCCCTCGGATACCACCTATCGGTGGCATGTCGGACTCGAACGGACTAAAACCGCACGCCGTCTCGGGTACTGATAGCCGGGGAACCAGGTATACCCTAGAAAGGAAGTCCCTGGTGCTCATTACATTACACTAAACATCGTATGACAATAATTCAAAATGTTTCCATGTTTTTTTTATTAGTGACACCGTTTTACAATGAAACTTCTCGGTCGTATAACGCAAAACACAAGCATACATTTTTTCAAAAATGTCTTAAAACACTGAACGGCAGTAAGCCGTCACGACAGAACTGCAGTTCTCGGTTTAAAGACTCGTTTTTTTTTCAGAAAAAAGAACAATACAGTTCACAAATTTAAACAAGCTATCACTTTTAGTAATATCATCAGGTATTTCATTGTAAAGTTTTACACCTTCATATAATATATCTAGGCTTTGTTACTTCTAGTTTTTTTCGTTTCCTTGCCTTGTATATATGGGTTTTTTATTTATAGCTTAATTGTGAATGTACTACCTTTTGTTATAATTTTATTTTTATTTTTTTCTGTCTTCGTAATTCATATCACACTTATGAGTTAATGTCGTTATGCATAAAAACGAAGAAACTTTGTGATTCATGGTGATTCCAAGTATTCAGAAACTCACAAAGTATAAGTGCCACAGGGTTCAATTTAAGGTATCTTCGTAGGAAAAATATTTCCACTAAAAATTCTTAGTATATTAACATCGTAAAGAAGTTTTCCGAAATAGGTTTGAAAAAATTAAAAATAGGTAATGTTCAGGTAATTCTTATCAATGCTAATTTATCTTACCAACGCTATCTAAAAACAATAAGTTCTCTATTTAAGAAAATAGTAAGTTAGGTGTAAAGTCCCAAGGCCTAAGAAAAAAAACTTACTAACATAACAGACACCTTTTTTTATGGAAGAAACGAGTAGACGGGTCACCTGATAGAAGGTGCCTACCGCCGCCCACTAACGCCTGCTACTTAGCAGTCACAAGCGGGTTGCCGGTCTTTGAGGCAAGAGTAGTCTCTTTTCTTAAAGGTTTGAAGGTCGTATCCGTCCGGAAAAACCGCAGACGATAATTTATTCCACAGATTGGTTATGCGAGACAAAAAGTGTCTTGAAAAGCGCTCAGTGGAGTTTCAATTATCCAAGTGATGGGGATGAAAATTTTACCGTGAAGAACGATGGCAGAAAGTTGCGACCGGTATTTTGCCGATCATTTCCTAAGAGCATTCTCCATGATATATACGGTAAAGAATGCAGAGTAAAACTTTATAGATCGAGCCTATCGGAGATCTTTGGGCTATAGACAATTCGAGTCGCTCTTCGTTGGATGCGGTAGGTCGGAGTGAAATACTGACTTCGATCTGTTCAGCACACCGAACTTCTTCGAGCCTAATTTGAACTTTCTCTCTGATGACCCCGAAACTGGACTTCGCTCGATATGTCTATGCCTTGAATGCCGATACTGGCTGAGGCAGTTAGGAAGGTGCTCTCAAAAAATAACTTTTAACATCACAGGCTCAGAATAAGTAGTTGAAGATGAAAGGTGGTTTATCAGGAGCTATGAAAAAATGAAAAATCCATTGGGTTATCATAATTTATTCAATCCAAATTTTACGAAGCAAATAAACATTTATTTGTTTGACAATGTTAATAGAAACTGTGTCATAACGTGACTTCCCAACAAAACATTTCCAGTTGTTACAAAATTATATCTGGATAATATGGCACGAACCTGTTGTTTTTGAGAGTATTGCTCAGAAAACTTACAGGACGTGTCCTGGGAATTATACAAAATACGCGAGAATCAGAACACTATTTTAGACACAATCCTCTATACTCAGCAAATTAGCACAAAGCTATTGTTTTGGAATATAACCTAAATCTTTTCTTAGCGAGATAAATCTCGAGCGTGTTGGAATGTTTATAAATAGATCAGGTATTGACGCGGACTTGTCTTAGGTGAAAAAGGAGGAGAATCGTGCTCAGTATTAAATATTCATATGAGTGGAGACATCGCTATACCTTATCTGCACTACATTTTAAATGAAACAAGGCAACTATCCAAAACGATCATTCAAAAAATTACATACAAATACATACAAATTTACAGCCACGCTTTTTTTCAAATTTATTAAAATTTATTTTCTATTTTTTAGTTTGGTTTTCTATAAAAAGCTTGTTCTTAGTTTTTTTTAAACAATTTTTTTTAATATTATTTATTTTTATTTTTTATTTTAAATTAGTGTATTGTCATCGGTCCTCGATATATCTACAAAGTTTAAACGAATTCTGACCGTTTAAAGGCAGTCAAAATCACGCTCAAAGGAGTCGGTACAAGCAAACATACAGGTGAAGCTAATAAAAAGCGTGTAATTATATCATTCCACTTTTGAAAATATTTTTCTAACAGGTGCAATAGTTCCGAAGGTTATCATTCACATACAGGTAACCTTGACGTCTATTTTAAACATGGCAACAAGAGACCTAATCTAATGGTTGGGACAGACATCTAGTAGGGCGGGACGGAGACGCGGCTTAAGTAAGCAGTAATGTACCAGTTAATATCAACCAGGCGCGATGGCTGTGTGACATCTCCTATATAGGAACTGTCACATAGATGTCGAACTTTCACTTCAGTAAATTTCAACTGCTACATCCGGGTCGCCGCCCCGTCTTGCCCGCTGTCTGCCCCAATCTTAAGTGATGCAGTATATATTTGAAGTGCAGGCAAATCAACAATGGTTTACGTCACAGCAGTGCGGACGTGATGTTAGCATTATTATTAGATTTCATTACCCACTACGGATTAGAATTTAGGAGAATGAATTGATACGTCGCCTCATCCGCTGCTCAAACTATCTACAGAACCGGGTAACGCTATCAGCTCTCTGAATCATTTATTATTTATGAGAGGAAATCATTGTCAAAATTTGAAACCGGCACAAGATAGAGAGAAAAATAGGTACTCTTATTGCACACCATGGTTAAGAATCATACAATGCCCTTCCTTTTAATATCCAGGCGGATATAGACGCGAGGGTCTATGACCAGACTCGATCCGCCGGGGTGAAAGCGGGGAAGGCCAGGACGAGCTCGAAATAAGGCGGTACGCTCACCGACATGCGACATGAATGCACGCCAATGCGCTGTCTTCTGCCTAACCTCGAAGCTTGAGTAGGCAGCTCGGGAGGGAGATCGCGTCACCTACCGACTGGCGCAGATACTCACTGGGCATATTTTCTTCGGTGAGTACCTGAATCGGACGGCACAATGCCAGCACTGTACAGCCGCCCTGTCTCCGCCAGCAACCATTGCATCCATACTGGCGGCTGAGGAGGGCTGGGGCGCAGTAGTCTCTTTCTGAGAAGCTGTAATGCTCCGCAAAGGGACCGCTGAACGGGATCGGGAGATGGCTGATCAAGAGCGTAGAGGACGTCAGCGGCGATACCAGCCGCCGACGAGTCCGTGGGCCGCCAGAGGGTGAGAACCTCTGGTGGCAGAGTAATTACTGCGGTTGGGGATAGGATGACGGCCTGATCGCATTAGAACGCAATTGAAGGGGTAGAGTCATTTCCCCTGGGATTGAACCTGATTAGGCGTGGTGTCGATTCGGCGAGGACCGGAATCACTTGGTCCGTGTCCTCCCAGAGTAGGGCGCCCGAGGCTGGCCGTCAGGGTGGTTTTTAGTGGAATCACCACATACTCCTGCCTCCTGAGTCTCCAAGGAGTAGGAGATAAGAAGGGATTTTCCACCCTTCAACAAAAAAAAGGAATCATACAATGCAGTCAATGCAGAATACAAACAAAAAAAAACATAGGTATCTCTGCTGTCTCTTACGGGCAACCTTTAAATTTTAGATGGACTAGGACTATACTGTATGTACTTATTTCTCTAGCTTTATAGGGATAACTCTTTCAAAAATTTAATCATGTATTGATCTCTTTCAGGATATTTGTTAGGTGTACATATCTTTTGTGCACATATCTCTGTAACCCAACACAAGTTGGGTTACAGAGATATGTGCACAAAAGAGTAATATATGAGCCTAGCTGGTACCCGCGACTTCGTTTGCGTGGAATTTGAAAAGCACTGCTTTAGTTGCGCTGTTATGTTAGCGCTGTTATGAATGTCTACATATCAATAACGCTGATTGCAGTTTGCATGACTTTGATATATCGATAATTTTAAATATTTGGGTTTAACTATTGACAGGAACTTTAATTGGAAGCCACATGTCGCTGATACTTGTGATAAAGGGAAAGTTCTACCAGATACATAGAATAATGAATAAACACACATTAATGATCGTATACTACGCACTTGCAGTTTCGCTGCTTAGCTATGGACTTATTATTTATGGTCGAACGTTGATAAGTTATTTAAGAAATATAAAAGACTTACAAATAAGAGTAATTAAATTCCTAGTAAGTAAAAAAGTGAGGGAGAAGTGTAACAGAGAATTTGATAAACTGTTTTCCATTTGCAAAATTTTGCTATAGATAATTAA